AAATTTGTTACACTTTAAGTAGCCAATCACGTCAGAAGATAACAGATAGCCTTCGAATGCTATATAAGCGCACGCAGGCAAGGAAGAAGTACCCACTCAACTGCGCACTGATGATGTCTCCTCGTATGGTGACGAAACGTTTGCAAGCCAATTGCCAAGCTCCGCGAACAGATCAACAGCCACCTGATCAACAACCAAGAAATATTAGTTCTTTCGGGGCCACGATGCAGTCTTCTACGCTCGATTTTCAAACTATATTCGTGGTGCTTCACAGCTGACGCGTTACACTAAGAATGGCAACAGAAAAGAGGTTTATGACCTTGATCAGCACTGTATTAGATAAAAACATGTGCAAGCTGGACAACCAATAAAACGTACGCAAGCCGGACAACCAATAAAAAGAACATCTGCGTTCCATTGGACCAATCAAAATGCCTGCGCGTTAATGGATGGTGCTGGCTTTAACATAATGGCCGTCCACCATTCAGTTTCTCTTGCACGCCTATATACTCTGTAAATGAAAGTTTTTTGTTGTATCGAACGTCGTAAACTTTGAGAGTTTCGAAAGAAGAATTCGTTGGCTCGGCTCCACTTTCCCCGCACGTGACGATTTCAACGGAGTCTGAGTTGAGTATTTCTTTAAACTGGAAGGTAAAATGAAGAATTATGATATAAGTACAAGTGGATTGAACAGTAGTTTAGAAAGTAGAGTGTTGCACATTTTATAGATTTAATGCACTACTCATAAGATTACTGAAGACTCTTCAACAGGCCACCACCAACATCGTCCTTCTTGGTGATCATCAGGTAGGCACAGTCCCCGAGTTTCTGTCAACCTTATGTACTACTTGTATCCAAGTTGCACGAAATTCGGAAAAATGTTCTTTCGTTCAGCTGTTGAACCCTTTCGGTGCCTAGCTGCCATGCCACACGAAGGAAGCACGAGGGCTGGGATACTGCCAGGTTGCCCAAGCCTAGACAGGGGAAGTCGAGAGGAAGAGGTCGAGTTCAAAACACAGACCTTCCGGTCAGTGAATTCGCGCTCGAAACACTTGGTTCATCCCGCCACTAATTCATAAAATACACACATTTTTATACCTGCTTGTTTTTGACAGGAGGCTCACCTGGAATCCAACTGAATCTCTCATTTAGGATGTTTTCAAGCAACTGAATGTGCTGCACCAGGCAGCCTCATGTTTCAGTTGGCACGATATTCGGGATACCGCCATGCTCACTACTCACTAGGTTGCTGAAAACTCTTCAACAACCATGACCGGCTCTGCATTTGTCTGTACTTTTCTTCAAGTTAATGTGCCACGTAAACTGTCGAACAATGCATGACGAAACAGTGGGATGGGGAAGAGTTTGGATATTGTTGATGTATGGTCCCCGTTCCCCTCTATGAGCTTGAGTGGGCAAACCGCAAGAAATGGCAGCTAATCAATGTCAAGGGCTGTGGTGCTCTTTACGGATTCCCTGATTGACCACCTGGTGGCACCTGGGAATGTCTCTGATGGACAAACAACAGGTACCTTCGTCACCCAATCTTTCCTCCGCTCTTCTTTTTAAAACCTTGAGTATGGTCACATAGACTTTGTGGTTGTACGTTAGAACGAATACTGCTGTCTCGATGAGGACTGAGATGATGTTGGTGATGATGACGAGAGCCGTCAGAGAGTAGGACGTAAACACCCAGTTATGAACACTTAAGACGACTTAAACTGGAAATTCACATCAAGATTTCTTTCGTTGTATTTTTAACCAAATCGGTTTGGACGATATTCAGGAAGTCCACCAAGTTTACCCTGTGAAGCGCATGACTTAAGACGAGTTTCCTCAATCGTAAGAAGGGAAAAAATTATCGGTTTTTCCAATTTTGATTGAAAGCAGGTGTGGGGTTTGATAAAAACACGGAAAGCAACCAAAAGGATGGAAAGACAAACATTGTGTTTTGCAAGTGCTTTTCATCCAGCGGTTTGGTTGCGTCGAAACAGCCTGACCGGGGCTTCAAGAACTATCATGGAACATCTCATGGAATTCAGCATGTGTTTTAAACACCATCGGGGGACATAAGAGTTTCTCGTCGAAACCCGGCAACATTAGAAATCGTACCGCCCGCTTTCTGCATTGATTTATTTCAATTGCATGTGTCCGTTCACTCAGAACATCATCATCATTGTCAGCTGTAATAACTTGTCGTACAGTGGTTGTAGCTGTCGCAGTTTCGTTCACCAATGATTTGGGTGAGGGGGGTAGGTAGCTGTGCACTGCATGCGGGAGCTGATAAATTGGTGCATAAATCCAGCACTGTCAGTGAGTTGTCAAGTAGAGGGGGTTGGAAAAGAAGCTATGCATTGAACGCAATAGCTTGGATGCATGAGCGCCATTGAGGGTGCGACTGGACCACGTCTGACAATGTCTGCAACAATTGATGTGGCAGGTCTCGGGGTCCTCATCCAGGAAGGCGGCAGCGACCAGCGCAGCTGAGTTTTCCGATAGTAGCTTTCACACTTCGCTGTCAAATCACTGTTTGGCTGCCTCTGGCTCTCTTTCACCCTTCACGTGGTTGTGCGAAAAGAGCCCTTCGGGGAAGTCGGTCGACTGGCATACGCAACATGTGGCCAAACCAGCGCAACCTATGCAGTGTTATCAGTTCATCTATCAAGTGTGAGTTATTTTTCCCGAATACCATTCGACGAAATTCAGCATCGCTGATCCGATGTTCCCACCAGATTAGGGCAATGCTCCGAAGACATCGATGGTCAAATACTGAAAGTCTTTTGACGTCCTCGGCGCGCAGTGACCAGGTTTCTGATCCATATAGTAATATGGAGCGCACCGCAGCATTGTAAACCCGACCCTTGACAGAGAAACTGATGTCACGCCTACGCCACAGGTGACGTAGGTTCGCAAAAGCTGCTCTGGCCTTCCCAATCCGGATGGAAATATCATCTTTCGCGAGACCACCGGGACTGATACAGCTGCCCAGGTAGACAAATTTGTCTACTACCTCAATCGGTTCATCCGCAAGCATGAGGCTAGGATTCGAGCCCACCCA